GTTTAATGCGGTGGCGCTGTTGGACATTGTGTCCAGTTCTTGGTTTAAACACAACTAAAGTCCGACGAGGCTTCGCTTAGAGACCTCAGGTAGCCACTTTGTACATCAGGCCTGATCAGTCGTCAATGAATCGCGTGGATTTGCTGGCATTTGACTTCTTGCAAAAATTTGCCCTTACTTGCGAGCATTTTAAAGACCGCAGTCACCTTCGACTTATCTCATAGCGAAACTTTGTGTCACTGGGTTCGTGTGATTCTACATGCATGGCAGTGTTGTGGAGCCCTGAATTCCCATTAATTGAAGCAAGGTGATGCCCGTGTTTAAACGTTTCTATCTCCAGATTTTGCCTAAATACACTCCCAGGCGTAGTATCTGCTTGTCACCCTGTCCCCCGTGTGCACAATCGCAACCTAATCCCTCCAGTGTCTAAATACCAGAACTTTTGTAAAAAAACCGTTCAGTGGACTTCTGTTCTGTGATTGCCTTTAGGACCACGTGATAGGTCAGAGAGCCTTGCATAGTGCAATATCTTCTTTTATCCAAAAATTGGCATAATCACCACCATCTTCAACCCTCTTTTTTTAAATTGCAGTTAAAATGTCAGAGTTAAAAGGATCGACAAGCATAAGGACGGAAAATAATGCTCAGAGCGGTTTGGTTTCATTTTAAAATAGGCATAGCTTCGAATAAATCGCAGTAATTACGCTAAACTTGGAAGCATTTCAATTCATTCGAAAGCACAAGAAGTATTTAGTCGGATTTAAAATTTATGGTGTCAAATCGCTGTTCTGTCGTACTCCTGAAATTCCGTAGCTCAATTCCTCAGAAAATTAGTTCAAGTTAGATAGATACAAGCCCTTGAAAATTGGACACACCACGTCTATAGAACACAATAGCCTGGTTCATATTAACCAGTTAGGGGTCATTCAGTTTCGGAGTTAACGATTTCAATATTCTACACAGAGGTACGAAGAATAGCAACCAACTTTACCCTCAAAAAGTCGGTTGTTGATTAGAATTGTGATATAGGAGACTTAGTGACCACGAGATAATAAACGGTCTTTTTTACTACTCAACATAAATTTTTCAATACTTGTGATGAACTTAAATAAAGACCAATGTTCAACCATTTCGGGAAGAATTTCCTTGCTTTCGTTTACTAGATTTTACACCTTTTCTGCTTCTTGTTTTTCTCATTCAAAAATCAATAAAATTTTTAATCCCACTTTTTCGTGGAGGGCCACAACTTGAGTTCAAATTAACGAAGTGGCAGTTAATTGTGCTGTTTGAAATTCCTTAGTAATTCTTGATTAAACTCAACTTTAATTCAGGAGGAGATACAGTTATACAACTACTAATGCAATCGATAGTATTGTGTTGATTCCCCTCTTATTGGGAGGAACCAATCAAGTTGCTTAAAATTGCATAATTTAAGGACGTCGCACTAACTCTTTCTGCTTCGAATAGAAAGTCAAGTGGAATGCAATTGATTGGTATCGACGACAGACCACTAGAGAGTTTGTAGTCGTTATATAACGTTTTCGTAAACAAACATCAGCACCAAACACCACGGGTTTCAGGAATAATTCGGTTTAACCTTAGACGGAGCCACATCAGGCTGTCTGGTGCAGTGTTTTGAACCAGCAAACTTGTGCAAAGCTGGAAAACGAGGGTCTGTCTACTAGCTTTGAATAGAATCGAGATTTTGAGGCTGCCTTCGCTTATAATTCTCGAGAGTCAAGGAGACGGGCTTCACAAGAACAGACGTAGTGACCGCTGTGGTCCCATAAATTATTCCCCCTCTACGCCTCAAGATTCGAAGACTATTCTCTAGCCTGTCAAAAGATGATGGATTCAATTTCCAAAAACCACCAGAACCCCTGTGTACGTTCGGGATTACCAACCAGAAAGTGGTTCATGTATCGAGGGAGCGATCGGACACCGAGGCGGCAAGGTCAACTTTAATGTGGCTGATCATTTGACATTTGGACAAGGCATCGGAACTGTCTCCTCTGGGGACATTACCCGGAGAGACACGAGTCGACAAATAAACATGTCTTAGAATTATTTTTCAACGCATTTAACTGTCGCCACCAACGGAACTCTCATTTGAACCTCTCAACACGGTGGACACAATGGAGTAGTCGCTGGCGCCGTCAACGGACACTACCAAAGAAGACGCATTCATAGTTTCACAAAGGGGAGAGGTGTTAGAGAAGCCAGCATTCCTCAAAACAGCCCACTCCGAACTAGGATTTCGTCATCGTCCGCACGACTCCCCCTAATCACGCCACTCCGTTTAGTCACGCCATTCTTGACTCATTAAGCTAAGGTCACTCAGGACTTATCTAATCTGCGCATTCTCATTGGTCAATCGGTCTTCGGCTAAAACAGCGAAAGCCCTCTGTCTTTATGCTGAATTGGAAAGGCGGGGCTTGGGTTAGACAGGGATTTGGGCACTAATTCTCTGATCACGTGATTTTGGTAATAAATTTTAACATTTGCGCTAGTAATTGGAGGGCGGCCAAATTTCGCTTGATGCCCATCACCATGCTTCAAAGCTTGTTTCGAAAACCGTGGATTGCAGTACAGTTGCATTCTGATATTATCGAGACTTCGATTTGGTTTTAGCATCCAATGAATTCAGACAAAATCAACCGAGACACTTCATGCTGTGGAGGGTTCACCCTGACCTTGAAACCGACTTGTTTGAGCTCATCCCAGGTGGGGGTGAGAAACAGTCCTTCATGAACTAACAGCTAAGCCCGAAACGCGTTTGTGGTCTCGCTGACGGACAAACACGTCTGTCACCTCTATCCATGCGTGTTCTCCCTCCCCCTCTCTCGGCTTCCCCACTAATCTCGAGGTCACGCGTTTTCACACTCCCCCTTCATGTATGTCACCGCTTTGTCCGCACACAACAGCCTTCATGTTGTGTTTTGGCCGCTTGGTCTGGTCTCTCATCAAGATGGCCGCCTTCGAGCATGCCACGGAAGTTGTCTGATTTGTGCGAATCCCACGTAACGTTGAACTGACTCCTCGACAGCGTCATGATGTTCCTCACAACGTCATTCGCAGATCACCAGTTGTAGTTGGAATTGTAGATCAGTACTGACAATGATGATGATGGTGGCGATTATGTCAAACAGTTAGAAACGCATGCTAGTCACCAAAACAAACCGACTGACGACAGTTCCGAAATCGGTGGTAGCTGTAAATAACGGAACGTATTCTTGTGTAATATCGAGTGGTTATTTGATGGTAGAGGGCTTGTTTAGCTTAGGGCTACAACCTGTGTTTATGTACAGAACGAAACGCAGACGCACACAGTTGTTTACAATATCGGGGTCAAATGCAGCCCTATTTGACAGGATTAGTAAATACCCGCACTAGTGTGGTTGGCAGGTTTGAATTGCCAGTTGAATTGCGCACTTGTCGGCTCAACTTTCCGGCCGATTAGTAGTACCAAAAGTCTCGCTGCGATTCTGCCTTGTTTATTTAAATAAAATGACTTTTTTTGAGTTGCATACGTTCAAATAGGAAGGGCGGTATTTATAGAAAAGGTGTGAGAGAGGGAGGGGCTTAAATGTGTACAGTGTCAGGAATTTAAGGGAAGGTTCACAGACTTTGTGCGCTGCGATCGCGATGGCATCACTTTGGCTCCGCCAACAGGATCATGCTGTCGTGGAAGCAGCTTCATCGTGGGAGAATTGAAGGAATTCAAGAAGCCTTGAATCTCTGCGTTTGGCTTGAACCCGTAGGATCTAGATGACAATTATGGCAGGTGTTTTTGCATTAATTTCGCCGCCTCTTAGACATTTCGTGCACACTACTTTAAACCGTCCGCCTACTCATCACATTGGCTCACCCTGGTGTTAATTCTATTGGCTGTCGTGGTCGCACGACCAAAATGCAAGTTTTGCAAAAACACACACGAAACGACTAGAACATTTTTTTAAATTCAATGAAAATGACTCTGAAGATAAGAAGGTTGTCGTTTAAATCAGTCAGATAAGATTTTAGCGAAATTGTCGAAATTTATGGACTTTTAACTAGCTTATTCACATCGATTTAAAGTTTTAACTTCAAACAACCGACCTTGGATGTTTGCTTCGCTGAAATCTGGTTGGTTGATTAAACGATGGCTGAATTTAGGCTAATTATTTTCGAAAAATTCTAAACCCACGACTGGTGTGCTAAAATTAACCATCAATGGGGTCTTAACGCTGTCTCTTGAATTTTTAAATTTCGATTGCTTCCAATCGGTGCTACCAAAATTAATTGGAAAAACTGCCACATTTCCGATAAAGCCATTGGTTAAAACTAAGATAAATGGTCAATATCTGCCATGAACTGCCCAATTCTACTTGCTTTACGTAGGCGGAGTGTCAGGATGCTAGCAATGGTCCTTATGACTTATTTTTAGACATTTTGCTCAGTAACTACTGTTTCTAAATCAGTAGCATACTAGGGACCTGAAATATGAAGTTGAAGTATTCGTGGCAATTAGCTCTATGTAGACGCCTTTTCTTCAACCACGTTTAACTTGCAAATTGACATTGTTTTAATATGTCGCCTCATGAATTTTACTTGCTATCAACGAGTGTTGTGCTCGAGCACTTCCTTGGTTAATTGATTGAATATCCAATGTAATAGGGAGACCCCTCGCAAATTTTAATTGCCAAGTCCGCCAACAGGGGAGGTGCTTATGCCGCGACTCACCTCCTTTCGCCTTCCTCCAGCATGTCTGTGTCGGCTCGCTTCATGAAGTAGCCCAGAATCAGGTAGTGCTTCCAGCATCGCCAGAAATTGACGACTTTGTCGGCGTCCGCTTCATCCTCGGTGATAAGACCACTGCAATTGGCTGGAACCGCTTCGCCCTCGGTGTCCGCGACCGAGGGCAGAAAGAGCGGGTTGCCGCTATCCAGGTGAATGAGCTGCTGGAAGACCAGACCCAGGTAGGGCAGACAGGGCATCCGAGCGTTCTCGAGGTCTCGACGATACGCGATGAAACTCGGTGGCAACATGTAAGCTCCGAAATCGTTGAGCTTCTACAGGAAGATGTAAACGGTGTAACAAGACGCAGCACTGCGACACCACGACGTCCTCCTTCTTGACCTCATAAAAGACTACATGGTCAGTGTGAGGCAGACTGCCGACTGGCTCACTATTTCATTGCCTTATTGTTTTGAAGAGATTAGTGAGTGTCCACTTGTCATGAATTTCGCTCTAATGCTGAATTTATCTGCCTTATTCTCTGCTGGTGCATGTCCATAAACCTGGAAACGCATCACTTTCCACCAATCCGGAGGCCCTATTTCTCAGAGTCCCATTGGCTGGGGCAGGCACGTCTCAGGATGCAGTCGGTTAGTGCACAAAACACAGCAGCTCACACCTGAACTGAACCGTCTAATAACGGCGGTGCCTTCTGATTCGTCTGCGGGCGTCCTCTTCTCTGTGTGCAATCAGGTATCTTAAATTCTGTGGTTGTTATTAGATCACTTAGCTCAAATCAACGCCACACCATAAACTGCCTTGTTGAGTACGTGGGTATGGCAATAATTTGATTGAAAAATGCCAAGAATCCGCACTTTGTGGCTAAGTGTGGATTCGAGAAACACACAACTCACCAATTTGAGCTTCTTTGAAACGTGGTGTGTGGGAGCATTTTGCAAACCCAATATCACAGCGAGGAATGAACTGAAGTTGTTCATCTTCTTCAACTCCTACAAACATCGAGAAATTGACATGAGTATGAAGAAGCAGTAGCTAAGAGGCGCCTGCTAAACACCGTAGGATTCTGTTTTAAACAAAGCCGCTAAAATGGGCTAATTTGACCACAAACGAGAAAAAGCTTTTGCTGCCAATTCGTTATTTTTGTTGGATTAAATCCTTCTTTTTTCCACATTTCTGAAGAGGGAATTTCAAAGGGCATTTAAACATTGTCGTATAAAAATGCGCAGTTATACAGATTTGGTGCAAATGTCACAGAGTGCTGTAAAAATATCCCCCTTTGGGGACCGAATTAGACGTAGCGCGATTCCGATTGGTTAAAATCGAAAAAAAAGTTAAATTTCCTGCGAATCTTCTCAATATTTCGTTAAAACAAAAAAACGTTTGGGCTAGCATAAACATAACCCATGCCCAAAAGATTTTGAATTCGAAAATTTCTCCATTATTTGCTAGCATTTTTACTTTAACCCATAAAATTTGCAAATTTTGAAAAATCTCTCTTTCTAGGTGACAGAATTGCTTGAATTACCTTCAGGAAAGTGGTTTTAAATATTTAAACATCTGACCATTGTTAATTTTTTTAAATTTCTGTGCCATCATTATTGGTTTACGCGATAAATCATTATGGTGTACTCCGATTGGACAGGATTATTTTGTTTTCTGATTGGACAGAAACTGCTGACTACGACTGACCTCTGCAAGGTCACATAACCGCCAAAGAGTACTCTCCAAGAGGAAATTGTTCCTTTTAGCTCGCATTGAGAGGTAAGCCGACGAGGAGGCCATGCATAGGTAGACTTTGAGGCTGTTTCTTCGCATTACCACTGGCTCGCCGGCGACGCTCGACCGACAGGCCGTTGGGAGACCCTGGGGTGCTGAGGCCTCCCGGGGCAGACCGCAGAGGTGACACCTGGGGTCGTCTGGGTCACGGCGTTGGCCAGATCCGGCCTTTCCGGCTTCGTGTTGGTCCCGCGTCAACGGTTGACCCAGCTCCTTCGCGATCAGGGTGAGGCACGTGACCATGGAATTGAGGTCGTTGAAATTTTGGACGCAACGCGACAGCGTGGGAGTATTGCCTCTTTCCAGGTCCTTTATCTTGATGAGTTCGCTGAGCTGTAAAAACGCGGGATTAAACAGTGACTCTACTTGAGATTTACCAAATGTTGTTTGCTCAACGTACCTGAATAGAATCGAAAAACATCTCCTCAATTATCGTTATTTGTTCGGCCAATTCTCTGATGTTAAACCTTCTAAATTTTTCTAATCTGCAAGTAAAAACGTAGCATTTTTGAATTAATTACTTAAAAAAATAAGTAGAAATTATATTAAACACCCACTTTTGGAGGCAAGTACACGTTTGAGGGTTCATTCCATTTTCCACCGTGACACTCGCGAGAGGCCTAATGACCGCCTCCGCCAAATCCGATTGGTCACTGTAGATTTTTGGCACCAGCTCCAGCAGACAGTCGGAGATGTGGTCCAGCTCCTTGGAAATGGCACTTTCATGAGGTGGTTTTGTTGGCGAGCCCTCCTGACTGCTAGAACCACTCCCAGCATCGAGTCCAGGTGTGTGTGGGACGTCAGATTGGTTGGTGAAGGTCCTAGCGTCCAATTTAAGCAGTTCACCAAGTCGGAGAATTTTAATTCCCAGTTTTGAATTAACAGAAATCCGTTTCGATCGGCTAAGCTGAAACAAAGTAAAGTGTGAATGTCTGGTTGCTTATCAGTCAATTTTCGTGCGTGAAATTGTGAAATCCCGCAGTCTCCTTTGACCAATCCAAGTGGAGTCATTGCTTGAGCACACGAGTGGACTCATGACACAAAGATTTCCATTAAAAGGCCCTACATGCTGTCGAAAGTTAGCGGTAGGTAGAATGCTTTGGTGATAATTCCATTCTTGTGAGAGTACTCTGCAATCAGCTTTCGAGGCAAATAGACAGCAAGTGACTAAGCATTGTACCTACCCCCTGTTTCAATGACTACGGACCTTTGATTTCTCCGTGGCCATCAGTAAGTCGATATTGTGGACTTGCGAGCACCACTGGGGCCAAAGGAATTGCCCACTTCATTGTGATCTTGCAATTAACCGGTTAAATGGATGTGCGTTCAAAAAGCTTGGGAATCGTCTACGCATATCCTCCGCATCTTTCTCTGCCTCGTACAGATCTAATCATTGTCTTTGGACATCTTAATTGTCACGGGCATCTGCCCCAAGTAACCGAACTTCAACCATGTTAGCTCAAGTCCAATGCGGTGATCCCAACAGTGCCAACCACGACTGAGAGCACGCTTTTGCGCTTCAGGCTTGCCAGGCCAGAGAAGACATTTTCCGTCAGCATCATGCATTTGGTTTGAGAACGCGTTTATGAGTGTAGCGTCAGTTCGCGGCCAATCGGACATGTGTGAATCACCCAGTAATGTTGTGGAAGATGTCGGTTTTAAGGGAAGCCTTCAGCAAAACTGGCACCGCAACCACGGCGATTACCCTACTGGCCCACACTTTGCCTGGAGCGAAATTCAGGCAGAGGGATCGTTCGAGGCCCAGTTAGTTTTGAATTTTACGTGCCAGAATGCAATTCGAGCATGTGTGGTGCGCGTGTTTTATTCTCCGCCGCTATCCGCGCAAATGCAAGTGACGATGGGCTGCCGAGGGTTTAAATTTTTTTGCAAACACAAATTTCCTGAGTATTTTAACTGTCAAAAGGCTGTTGTGGGCCCCAGCATGTGGTCTTGAGCCACGCAATTAGCGCTGGTCCAATCACGTTTCCCCAATACCCGCGATGCAGAAAAAAGGACCAGCGACGACGTGGACACAACCGTTTACTTCAGAGGTCAACCACGTTGGTGTCGTTGTGTCGTGTGTGGGGTTTGCGCGTGTGCATTCATACCTCAGATGCGTGAGTCATACATGCGACCGGATTAAGGGATGTGAATAAACACGCTTCACAACATGGCACTTTCGCACCGAAATTCGCATACTTTTACGCTGTTTTAAGTAGTCAGTACGAGACGCGAGAAGGACAAGTTTCTGGCTACCAGAAGTAACTCGTAGAACATATTAATTCGGAACTTACTAATTTAACAAGGAACTGCAGCGCGTTCAGAGCCTCGCCCCAGACAACGTTGGGGTCGTCCAAGTCAGCACCTTCACCGACGCGTCCAAGACCCCCAGGTTCGATTGGAGCGAATGCCAGGAAGCGTTGGATCAGTCTAGAGACGACCTCCTCGGCGAGCGTGAATGTGGGGTAGAGCCGCATAAAGATGTCCGGAATCAAGCGCTCGTAGGTATCTAAACGGAAACAAGCCAATCACGACAAGCGCACTCATTGGATTTGCTGAGGATCTCCTAAGATTAAGTTGTGCCGAACTGACTACAAAAGCTATTTGCAAATGAGCCACCGGAATAATCCCTCTTTCCGCCACCAAACATTTTTCGCCTTCCGTAAACAACGCCTATTTTTTTTATCAATGGTTGTGTATTTGTAATGGAACTCAAAGTTATCGGCTTTTATTTGCATCACATCAAACTTCAAAGCGCAGATTTTTAGACCAATCAGGTGACGGATCTCCAGAATGTGTCATCACTGATTGGTTGATTCAGTTTCAGCCCAGATTAGTCAAAAAGGCGCCCTTAGTTTCACTTCTTTTCCACATTAAACAGTTCTTAGCATTCCAAGAGCATTCAGGCAGGAGGTGTTTTCGTAATTCAGCATGCCAAGGAAACTTACAGGGCAGGCTAAACACAGCAAAGTGTGTTTTGGAAAACGCGAATGTGTGTTCGACTGCACCGGCGGCAATCCTACTGGGCTATCGCATTTGTTTATTTGAACTTGCAGATTAGTCATTAGTGGCTCTCCATTGGTTCACTGCTGCAGGAGAATTCGAGACATTAGCAACTTCACCACACGGCTGCAGTGCCAGATGGGTGAAAACGAGAAATCTTTTTAGAGGTCTAATCTTGGGTTCATTTAAAATGACCATTTTCAACCCGCTGTTGCTCAAATCAAAGGCACAAAACGGGATAAAACTTGTACTTTCGGTTCGGATTGACCGTTACCACGACAACGCCTTGCTCGAATCTTACCGATTTTGCGAGGGCCTTTTTCAATTGGTCGCGTGATGATTGCTAATTTAGATTAGGGGAAAGGATGGAAAAAAATAACCAGTTTTGAATCATTAAGATGTGACCAATCACATTCGAGGCTGCGAACTCCCCAGACCAATCAGCATAGCAAGCAGCCACAATTTAGGCAATTTCGGCCAAAATGAAACGCTTCCAAAAAGCAAAATTCCACTTTTTTTGTGAAATAATGAACTTTTTTGCTCACATGGCACTTTATGTTTACGCTTGCAGTAGAATTGTGTTTATGGGGAAGCGTTGATTTACGTGAAAATGGTAGGAGGATGTTTTGTGATTTCAGCCAATTAAATGAATTTAAATGCAGGACTCTTGACTCTACAAGACAGAATGTTGTGAATATTAATAATATTTAATGTAAACTGCAATAAACCAGCTGATCAGATGGCGGTTTAGTGCGTTCTCTTTGTGGTAGTAAATTAATGTTTGTAGCCGATTAACATCGATCGCGCCTGAGTAAACCCTGGTTACTGACCTGACGTTGACGATGACATCCCCTTTCCATTGGTTACTGTATCAGACGCCTCTCATCCGTTCACTCATCCACACACTAAGACACCCACTTGACTGGCGTGACGGTAATAAACGGTCGTGTCCTCTGTCGCCTCTCTTCACTCCATTCTTGGGTTGTTACGGGCTGTTAACCAGGTGGTTGTAAGGTAGTACTGAGACTCTAGCTACTACATGTTCGTCTTACCAGATTTCTTCTGCCGAAAAATCTGCAGGGCGTAGACCAAGAGGGCGTCCAAAGTGCCACCCCTAAGGAAGCAGCCGTCTTGTCCATTGGCCTGCGGTTCGTCCTACGAGAAGAAGAGGAGATAAAGTAGCCAGTAGCCGTAATTTCCAATTACTTATTAATTAACTTCATATTTGCCTAATGCGGCTGTAAAGTGGAAAGCGAAGTTGCCAATTTCTGTAGACCAGCGTTGGCCCAAGTGCCATTAGTTGTGAAATATCTTGATGTCTATAAGTGGCAAAAATTTGGAGGACTCGTCGCTTTCGACAAGAATCCTGTGTTGATGGCAGCTGAAGGTGATCCTAAATACGCCACTCAAGGAGAACTAGCAGGAGGTTACCATCAAATTTTTGATTAAAAGACTAAAAAGGGACCTGTAATTGAACACCGCTTTGCTCCTCAAGTAATCGGGTCCTGTTAAACGAACTGGCGTCATTCGCACGTCAAGAAAAACCAAGCCTATGCAGAAGACGGTATGAAGGAGAAAGGAGGCAGAGTTCATGAAAATGAATCAAAAATTAGCGTAAAACCCTTAAAATATCATCGAATGCAGTGCAGTGGTTCCCAGACACCAGCGGAACTCAGCGTAGAGCCAATTGCAGTTAAAATTTATCCATCAAAAAGGATTCATCCAGTGTTGAATGGATTGGTGTCACTAAACTGCATGATACATGCGGTAGATTTCACAGTGCCACAGTCACCCAATGAAAACCAGTTACGTGCGCTTCAAAGTTCTGCATTACCGGCCATGTTATCCAGATGTGGGCGCATCTGGACACCTCTTTTCTTCGTCCGAATATGCTTTCCAAGCACAACTGACATTACAGCAAGGACTTAATGAACACCCACACTCCCTTTTACAAGGAAATTGAAAGCCTGTCACTTATCAAACGTCAAGAGGAATTGTGCGTAGATAGGCTTGCACACGCTGTTAAATAGGACAT